CGCCGGGCCGGGGCTGCCCCAGAGCCCATTTACCAGGCTGGCATTCGTGAAAGGATGCCTGGAAAGGCGAGTTGTGCCATCTCTCATATTGCTGTAACTTTGCTTCTTTTTCAGTGTATATCCCTTTCTCTGCTGTTTATAATACTCAAGGATTTAAGGAGCCCAATATTCAGACGTATCTCACCGGCTGTCCCATCAAAGCTCGGGTTCTGGAAGTGGAACGTTTCACGTCTACGACGCGGGTCAGAGCGTTTGTCAATGCGCATCCTATTGAATATGTATATTTCATGTGCTTTAATACACCGGCATCTGTCTTCCTTCCTCCTAGCTATGACCGTGTTTCTAGCTTTTTGTTTCTCATTTCCAGTTCCTCATCACCTCCCAAAGTTTTGCTTCCTTCCCGTTTAATCTTCATTTCATACTACCCTGCCCCATTCCGAACTATGCTTGCTCTCCCCCCCTCTGTTCAAGGCATTTAAAGCAATTTATCAGTTTAATAAGTTACAGAATGCCTCCTGGTCCTCTTCTTTCTCCAATTCCACCTAGAATCAGGAAAGTCATGATGTATTCTTGTAGATTTTTCTATGCAAAAATGCATCATGACTTCCCTGACAACCCAATATATCAAGGAAACTTCAGCTTTCCTAATTCCTGTTTAACAGAAAAGTGACGGTGCTTCCTGGCTCTTCAAGGAGAGAAAGCCAAGTACCGGACTGGCCAGTCCTTACCCGAGAACACTGGCTGGGGGATTCTGCTGGCAGGTTCTGCCTCTGTCCAGTCCTCCAACACCTTAGACCCCTGTGCCATGTCCTGTCACTGAACACAGAAAACACTTTGAGAGTGAAATGTCTACAGGAGCAAAGCTGTAGCCTTGGAGGCAGATTGGCCTCAGGGGAGCCGCTGAGGAGGGTGTGTGTGCTCTTCCTGGCTGGATTTCGCAGTTAGGCCTGCCAGCGGGGAAGTCGCCGTGGGGTGGTGGCTTCTGCCGTTTGGCCCTTCAGGTGAAGCTGTAGCCGGGTCCAAGTGAGGCCAGCACTGGCCCCCAGCCTAGAATGACCACCTTTCTCAGGGGCAGGTGCCGGCTGCCTCCATCCTTGTCTCGTGGCGGGTGGCATGTGCTGCTTAGGTTTGTGGGTTCTTCCTGGTCCGGTGTCCCAACGCCATCTGTGCATGGACTCCCACTGTCACTGACTGTGGTGTCCAGCTTTGCTTTGGGTCCACGTTCCCTGACACACCCTGAGCTCAGCCCACCTGGATACTTGCATTTTTGTACTTTGCTGGCCAGTTTTTAGTTGAGAGGCTATAACTTGTAGGGATAAATACGCAGACTCCAGGGCCAGAACACGTGGTTTGATTTGTTTTTTCTTCTATTGAGCGAGTTACTTAACCTCTCTGCTTCTCAGTTTCCGGATCTGAATGATGAATAAAATAGTGCTTATCTTACAGGGTTTTAAAACAAAGATATCATAATAATACCGGTGCATGTATTAGACAGGGCACACACTGCCTGCTCACTACTGCAGCTACTTTCTCTACCACCTTTTCTTTTAAGAATGATTTTTTCAACTTTATTTATTATCATTATTTAAATTTGATCAAAGAGAGACAGAAAGAGAGAGAGGGAAAGTGAGAAAGCAAGCCACCAGGTCCAGGATTTGAACTGTGGTCAGCCATGTGGGAGTCCAGTGCCTTAACCACTACACCACCTGCCGGCCCCAGTACCCACCCTTTCTGAACGCTGGAGGTGCATCGAGTCGAGGAAGAGATGTAGACAAGGATGGACCTTGGCATATATTGTAGGAAGTGAAGGGTTCCCGCTCTCTATGGTAGGCTATTTGTGAAGGGCAAAAAATGGGGCCTAAACGGTGACCCTGGCATCCTTTACCTCCACCTCCCTCTGCCTCCATCAGCTGCCCGTTCACCGCTTGTTCTTACACAGGCCCTGTGCTCAGTGTCTGCTTTACCTGGTTTCCAGCTGAAAGTGTGTGTGGGGAGTGGGTGCGGGAGATAGGATTTGTAGGAGCAGAGAATCTCATTCCCGTAATCATTTATTTTTGAAGAGATTTTGCTTAAGTATGTACACAAAGTAAGTAGACCAGACTTCAGTATACGTTCATGCTACTTATTAGGTAGCAATTGTTTGTGGAGAATTGTCAGAATTTCCGTTACCTAAAATGGCAACCATTTTTATTTATCGCTATAGGTACCAAGTATCAATCTTTACACTATTGAACTAACACATGGGGAATTTAAATGGCAAGTTAAGAGGAAATTCAAGCACTTCCAAGAATTCCACAGAGAACTGCTCAAGTACAAAGCTTTTATCCGAATCCCCATTCCCACCAGAAGGTAACTGTTTGAGAATTAATATAGCGTTATCCCAGTATACAAGTTAGATGGAAAGTGGATCCATGATTATAGACTAGCAAATTCATCGTCGATACTATTTTCAATTAAGTGGGCTCTTTTAAAATAAGCCAGCTCATGAAAGATTTTCTAAAAGACGTAGTCAAAGAATAATCTAATCAACCTTTGTATTGTGCGTGTGTGTGTGTGTGTGTGTGTGTGTGTGTGTAGACACACCTTCAGAAGACAAAATGTCAAAGGGGAGGAGCCTCGAGAGATGCCAAGTTTGCCTCGCTCATCTGAAAACATGATGAGAGAAGAACAGTTCTTAGGAAGAAGGGTGAGTGCTTTTCCTCTTCTTCATTCTGAGCGTAGCTTTGTAGTAGCCCTGTAGTAATAGTGTACCCAAGGGAGAGGCGGTGCTGGCTGCAGCTTTTCTCATCTCTGATTGGTCAGATACAGTGTATACCTAAGGGAGAGGCGGTTCTGGCTGCAGCTTTTCTCATCTCTGATTGGTCAGATACAGTGTATACCTAAGGGAGAGGCGGTTCTGGCTGCAGCTTTTCTCATCTCTGATTGGTCAGATACAGTGTATACCTAAGGGAGAGGCGGTTCTGGCTGCAGCTTTTCTCATCTCTGATTGGTCAGATACAGTGTATACCTAAGGGAGAGGCGGTTCTGGCTGCAGCTTTTCTCATCTCTGATTGGTCACCCAGGCTGGGTGATCCATTGCCTTCTCTGGAATTAGTTAGGCACCCCCAACTTCCCCAAGCCAAGGACAGGTTGCCCTTTCCCAGTAAAGGAAGAGTGTTCATTGTTAGGAATGATGAAAAAGCTGGCCTCCCTTGTCAGAACTGCCCTGGGCTTATTGTGAGTCAAACATTGAGCACATCCTAGTGGGTTTTGAAATCTACTCTTTTGAAACCATGTATTTCTGTAGGTTTGCTTCAATATTTGTACTTACTCTTCCTAAAATGTAAAATTTTAGCCCTAACCTATGGATGGGGCAGTTAGGGTCTAAAAAGAGTAGAATGGAGTAGAGACCTGCACATCACCAGGACAGAGAAAGGAGGAAGGTTATTTCTTCCCACTCTGCTTGAGTGGTGGGGGATTAACTTATTTACTAGAAAATTAACAACGAATTCGTTCATTTATGTTGTCTGAAACTTTTGTGTTCTGAAGGGGATGTTTGATGTCTTCTTTGTAGTTGTCATCTTGTTTAAAATCTTTTTAGGAAGACTGGACTAAATATTTTCCAAGATACCTAAGCATATAAAATGATACAGTTCTGGTTACTATGTATATATAAGAGTCCAACTGGAAACAATTACGGCTATTAACACTTGGTGATTCAGCAAAGGATGCTACATTTTGCATTCTATTTAACATAATTGCCACAGTTGCCTCCCTTCCCTAACTCAACAGCCCCTCCACCCCCATACAAACACACACAGGTACACACACACACACACACACACACACACACACTTCAATATATTTGAAATCAGAGTACATTTTACTAGAAAGTCCTTACTCCCCTTCTTTCCCCCCCCCCCCCCCCCCCCAAAGCTGTTTAAAAATTACAGTGTATCTTTCAGGAAGTCAGTGTTGGAATTGAGGAAACACAGGCTTTTGGTAAAATCAATGCATGGGATAGAACTATCTACTATGGGCAAGCCCTGTTCTGGTACCTTTGGAAGATGAAGAGAATATATATGTTGGGGGACCAGCAGTTGGCGTAATGCTTACATTGCTGGTCTCCCATGTAGTAGACTACGGTCCAAACCCAATAGCTTAAAATTCATGCCAGGTGCATGTGAGTGCATGCCCCCAATGCCAAGAGGAGAACGGAGAGGAAGGGATTGCAGCATGGCCATCCCCCCGGGGGGTGATTTCTCACTTACTGTCTTTCTGTCTCTCTGGCAAGCACACACGCACTATAGCAGAATTCTCTCTAAAGAAAGAGAGAGAGAGAGAGAATATATAGAAAGCAGGAGTTTATACAAGGTATGAGCATAGGTACAGCCAGATAGCAGGAACAGATTTAGATAATGGTTTAAGAGAGCTTTCGAAATAACATCTTAGTGCTAGTCAGGATTCTCTCCCAGTGATACTATTAAAATTGAATAGAAGATAGGAAGAACTGATGACCTCATCTTTGCCACTAAAGTTTTCCATAAATATGACCGCATTAACACTTATCTAAAATATTTGCATTGTAGAAACAACTGGAAGATTACCTGACAAAGATACTCAAAATGCCCATGTATAGGAACTACCACGCAACAGTAAGTACTCTCCAGTGATTAATCTGGATTATTTTATTAACAAACGTGTTTGTATCCATGTGGACGTTATTCCTTGAGTGAAATGATAAGAAATCAACACAAAATTGATTTGACAGCAAGGACCCACTTTACGGTGATATGATACTATTTTTAAAATATTGCATAGTCCTTGGTATGGCTATAGCGATAGATTTCAATGAACTTGACGTGCTACTGCAGGCTGGCGTACCTAGAAATCAACACTCTTCTCTCCTCAGGCTTCCAGAACATGTAAAAAGCATTTCTAGCTCCAAAGAAAAAACACTGATTAGTAAGTGATGAAAACAGTGGAGCCAAGTTGAATACCCAGAGATTAGACGGAGTGTATTGTGATAGGCGTCCGATTAGCCTATGATACCTGTAAAAGCCTGTTTTTTTTTTTTTTTTTTTTCCCATGTGAAAGTGAGAAGCATGGGAAAAGACAGGGAAAGAAAAAACTGAAGAAATCCAAGAAAAGTGGGAAAAGATGGTGGGACTTAGATGTGACCAGAGATTAAGCTTGAGGAGCACACTGCTGGAAGGGAGGGACTTCCAGTGTCCACACACTGAGCTCTGTCCTTTCAGAGGCCCTTCCAGGTGGAGCAGTGCTTGTAAGGGAAAGTTATCAGGAGGTCTGGCTAACCAAGAATGCTCCAGATGACTGTTTATCTCTGCGTGTGCATAGACCGCATCACTGTGGGAGTTGTACGTCCCTTCTCTACACGGCACGAGAATAGAAGAACAGGTACATTTAGCCTCTAGCTGGGGGCTGGCATCACTAAAGCTTACGAAGAGAAGAGGGAAGCCCTCAGTGTATTTAGGAGGAAACGAGAGTTCCTGGGGCTGCTCCCTGTGGTCCGCCAGCATGTTTCCTGGAGACTGGTGTGAATATGCCCCCCTGGGCTCTTCTACATGCCACTGACTCGGAGCTGAACCCTGAGCATCTTCTGCTGTGCTTGCACTGTAATCCCAGAGGACTTGAAGGAGCTTCTATGGCTTCATGATCCTGCAGAGTGTTCTCAGGAAGCCAGCAATCTGAGTTCAACCAGAGGCAGTCAGGAGAAGGATGATGGGAGGGGACACGTGTGGCTGATGCAGCATGACGGATAGGGGTGTTACTTCTGTCACTACTTCCATGCCGCCTCCTGGGGGAATCTGGAATCAGACGTGCTGTTTCCGTGACAGAAAATTATCTGTATCTGTACTAGTACCCATATGCAATAATTTCCATTTCTTTTACCTTTCTGCCTGCCTGCAAAATTACTTTTCCTATTTCTTTTGGCCTTAAAACTGTACTGGGAGTTGTCTTCTCTTTCTATGTACATTACTGCATTTTCAATTCTTAGGTTGACTCAAGAGTGTTTACATTTCAGAATGTTCGTTTTAATTACTTTTCTAGTCGTACAAATCTTTTCAAAGCATGCGTATTGTATTTAGAAATTCCAGAGTGCTTATGAAATTTCCTTTGGAAGGGAAAGCCTCGTTAGCAACTAACTATATTATCCTCCTCAGTTTTGATGACTACTGAGATTATTCTTTCCAACGGCTACATTCCCCGAAATGATACAAGCATAGGATCAATTCTCCAACGTCATTTCCCCTTCATACTAGTTGTCATCTAGGCCTAAAGCCTAGATTTATGGGCCTCCACCTCATATTTGTGAAATTAGATTTTATTTATATATTTCCTTCTATAATTGCGAGACATATTAAAGACCCTATCTGCAGAAAGCACACTAAGTTATACATGGTTGTGCACACCTGTCATCTGAGCTACTTGGGAGGCTGAGGCGATGCGGTCCTAAGTTCAAGGCCAACTAAGGCCACTTAGCAAGGCCTGTCACATGTAAAGAAAATGAAAAGTTATTTTTACATCGATATCTATAAAATAAACTTGTACTTTTTAAAAAATATATATTTTATTTAACTTTATTTATTTACTTTTTAATTTGACCAGAGAGGGACAGAGTGAGAGAGAGAGAGAGGAAAAGTGAGAAAGCAAGCCGCCAAGTCCGGGACTTGAACTGTGGTCGGCCACGTGGGAGTCCAGCACCCTTAACCACCACGCCACCTGCTGGCCCCAACTTGTACTTTTTTAAGCATAAGCCAAACTTAAATGAACTCAGATCCGTCAACTGATAGAATCCTAGCTCAAGGGACTGGATAAGCTAGATCGTAAATGCTACAGAACCTTCCAGATGTGTATTCGGAATCTGCAGTTTTAACCAGCACTTCAGGCGATTCTTATCATCCTAAAAGTTTGAGATCAAAATTAGAATATGATGGTCACCTTAGAAGTGTCTTGGTAAAATCGAACTGCTTAGAAAAGTAGAGATAGATTTATTATCACGGTACACAATTTACCCAGAAAAGAAATGGATTTAGGCTTCAAAGCACTGTCTGCTAAGTTTTCATAAATGGCTTTTGAAATTAGACATGGAAGTTTCTCTCCTCTTAACTTTCATATGGTCATTGGTTGAGTTTGCACTCATACAGCTACCTTTTCTTCTAAGACTGCGAGGACTTCTCTGTTCTTATTTCCCTTTCCCTTTTTGTAGTTCTAAAAAACAGCATCCCTGGGGCCAGCAGGTGGCATGGTGGTTAAGGGCACTGGACTCCCATGTGGCTGACTATGATTCAAGCCCCAGACCTGACGCCTTGCTTTCTCACTTTCCATCTCTCTCTCTCTCTCTTTCTCTTTCTCTGTCCCTTTCTAGTCAAATTTAAATAAATAAAGTTAAATGAAATAATTCTTGAAAGTAATATTTAAAAAAAACACAAAACAGAACATCCTGGTGTTTTAGCGGACTCAGCATCAGACAGTTCCTTCAGAAATGACTCATTTACCACTTTACTAATTTACTCAGTTTTCCTAACATTTGTAAAATGAGAAAAAATGTATTCTTTCTTGTAGGTGTAGACATGTTAAAAAATAATATTTAACTGAGTTACACAATCAAATGCAAAGAAATCTCAAACAGGGGTTTCTTTTGTGTTCTGAAATCCTGTCAGTCTAGCTGCAGAGCAGAACCCACTAGCTGGCATTTTAGTGAGCAACTGGAAAGTGTGTATCTTCCAGAATGAAAAGGCAGAGGGATAAAGACATTTTTCCTCACTTAAGATTAATATCTAGAAATGGAACAAAATGCACAGTTTCCAAGAGAAGGGCCCTAAACTGATGGGATTATGTTCCCGGCCTGAAGTAAATCATTGAACTGCATGACTCAGATTCCTTATCTCCAAGATTGCAATTAGCTTGAAATCTTGAGTACTGAGTCCCACCGATCTATAATGCTGAGCTCACCTCTCCCTTGTTCCATGGGATGAATCACTTTAC